TTCCCGGCCTTCAAAAGGCCGGCGCCTCCCATCACGCCTATCGCCCACCCCGCCCCGGCCCGAGCCCTAGCCCTGCGCCGGCGAGAGCGACATCCACTAAACCCGAAGCACAACACAGCCCCAGCAGGGAGAAGAAACAGCCCGGCGTCGGCGAGACAGCGTGCCACAGCTGGAATTTCCAGTGACAGGCAGGAAATCGGTGCGGAAGCAAAACCCAAGTAATAATACCTGACGGATAAAGAGCTATTTCCGATTTGATGAAGTGCTTTCACTTTAAACATCATCTCATGTAATTCTCATAACCACCCCATGAAACGGGCAGGGGTGTTGATCTAAGTCTCGTTTCACAACGAAAAGCACTGCGGCTCAGAGAGGTTGGGCGAATTTTCCAAGGTCACTCAGCTGAGAGGCTGGAGTTCAGACACATTGCACTGCCTCTCAGAATTGGAATTACGGTGAAAAAAATGGAAAGAGAGACGGGGAGAGGGAGCGAGAGAGTCCCTTGGGTCTAGCAGGGGGTCGGAAAGACCTGGTGGCTGAGAACAAGGAAGGCTTCATGCCCCACCCAGGGGTTGCCTGCGCAAGAGGGCGAGTGAGGTTGAGCGCGCTGAGCAAGCCCACCTCTCAGGAGACCTGGAAAAGGCCGAGAAGTGGAGCCAGCAGGGCGGGCCAGGGTGTGTGTGCAGGGGAGGGTGAGTGGACAGAGCGCGGGGTGGGCGCGTGCAAGCTGGGGTGCGAACGCCGCCACTGGGCTGCCGAGGGCCCGCAGCGGTATTCCCGGAGCAGGGGCTGCTTGCTCTTCGTGGCAGGGTCGTCGGCTCTCTCGCCTTCGCCTCGGTGGCTTCTAGGCGCGCCGTGCCACGTGCGGACTCCGTTCATCGCCTCTGCTGCGTCTCGGGCTCGGGGACGGGCGCTTCTGCGCCCGCGGCTGGCGGCTGCGGGCCGCCGGGAAGTGGGGGCGCCGGGCGGGGCAGGTGGGTGAACCCAATGGCTGCTCAACCCCGCCGGGCGGCAAAAAGGGGCGGGACATGTGGGGAGGTAGGGAAGGGACAGAAACCCATCAAGGCCAACACAGCAGACAAAAGGCGCGCGGGCCTCGCGTTCCTCCCTGCCTGCTCTGGCCAGCACCGCCGCGGCCCGCTCATGTGCCACCGGGCTGGCGGCTCTCCCGAACCCCTCTTTGCTGTGTGGGTCATTGTAGCCTTCCTGGGTGGCGGGAAGAGGGAGCTGCAAAGGGAACGGAACTGCGGCCTGGGGACAGAACACAAGGCCTCCTGCCTGGGAGCCAGCACCAGCGCCAAAGGGTTGAAGGCTTTCCGGATAACACCCTCATCTTCGTTGGTGAGGACAGTTATTTCTCAAGCTGATATAAAGTGTCATAAAAGCGCATCGACGAGCACTTCTAACCACACTGTCTTCTCTAGGCCCCTCCTGTATAGAAATTCTGGGGCCCTGTCTGGAGCCGGGAGATTTTTTTTGGCAGGGGGGTTTAAGGTGGGGTGGGGAGACACTTCACTCCAACAAGGAAAAGGAAAAACAATGCGTTCATCCCCAAGGTAGGGCATCCATCCAAATTAAAGACGGATTCTCCAAACGGGTGAGAAGCGGGTCGAGCTCAAGGTAGGGAAGCAGAAATCCTTCCCCTTTTCATCGGTTTTTCCTTTTCTTCCTCTCTTTTCGGGACGTGTCACCTGCTGGCAGGTCTCCTGACCGGGGAGCAAGGAGAGAGAGGCGCTTCCTCTTCTCTACCACAGACCTTCCTGCCCCCTCCCTGGTCCCCTATCTCTTGCCACTCAGGATTTTGCCTGCTTCCCCTCCCCCCGCCCCG